TTAATATTAATAAGTTCGGGAAAGCAGCTGAAGGGGACAGAGATTTCCCTTAGGAATCAGAAGGCCACGAAATGATGAATTTATCTCTACCAATTTTGCATCTGTGACAAGAGGGATTTGATTACAAAGCTCCAAGAGGAACCAATTGAAAAAGGAGCTTATCTCTCCCTGAGAAAACCCTTGGACTTCAAAGCACGTTTTCATTCCAAAAAACAGACTAAAAAGGAAATATCTTGGAAACTTCCACAAAAAGAGGGAACAATTTTGTTCCAATGTTATTAAAGACTACTTGAACCCCTCTATAGTTTTGGTTTTGATACAGAATTTTAGAAGTCAGAGCACTGTCCAAACATCCAGAGGAATTTAACACATTTACATGGGAAGTCACCAGCTGCAGGTGCTTTTCTTGAGTCCTGAAACTAATGGCATTGCAAAGTACTAAAGAGAAACTTTGGGCTCTCTCTCTTCTGTAACAGGAATAGAAATTCACAGGAGGCTAACTCCCATTAAGACTAACTCCATTAGTTGCAGTCATTCTACAGCTGGCTGAAAAAAACCAACCCTGAAACCAGCAGTAAAAACCACAAACCAAACAACAAAAACCAACAACCAAAAAGAAACCACCACACCACAAACCCCAGAACATTAGCTCTTGAAGATTTTTGGAGCAATTATGTATTTTTGAGAGGTTAGAAGTACTGTGGGAACTTCATAATGGCTTGAAACGTTAAGTTACACCTTACATAATCGGGCACTAAGTACAGCTCTGTAGCAGCTACTTTAGTATAGTCACAGTGCTACAGTATGGAACAGCATTTAAATCTTGTCAGAATGCAGCCCTGTTGTGCTCAAAATGTGCTCAACACTCTCGGCTCCCTAGGGAAAAACGCTTCCACCCGCTCTGTGTGTGTCAAGGCAGAAATTACTTTTCAGTGAAAATCTCTTTGTTTGAGGGTTGTTGCTGTGCAAAGAATGATAGCCTTTTTTCATGCAAGGAGGGCCCCCACCTGCCCCAGACACTGATAGATACTGGGTGTAGGGCAAGGCATCATACGGCCTACGCCTAGTGTAGCAAAACAATATTCAAAACTAACACCTTGCCTCAAACCTCCAGTCACCTAGATGGGTAGGTTAATTAAAAGATCAGCCACCTCTCAAATTTCCCTATGCCTAGGTACAAAACTGATGCTTGCAGTAGCTGGCTCTGAAGGCCAAGAGGTGGTCCTCCCTGCTGCAAACCTCAGATTTAGCACATGCAGTCATCCCAGCAGCCACAGGCAGGAGAGCAGCAGCTGTAGCTGCAAGAACCTATAATCTATGGAAAAGCGACTGCAGCCATGTACTCCTAGCTTAAACTTTAGTCCCACACATCTTTGCTTTTATGCAGAGATAGTGGTCTTCATGCCTATTTCCCAACAGCAGTTTCTATCATTATTTTCCTTTAAGAAGTTCAGGTCACTAAAGGCAGTGTGGACAATAAAACATACAATAATCTCTTAAACAATTTAAGACAAGTGATGGATGGCTGATGAACCCAGAGGCAGATGAACTCAGTACCCTGGTTTCCTTCTGTATAACTGTCAAATAGATCTGGAGAAGCGCAGTGTTCCTCTGGTGGTGGGCTGCATCTCTAACAGGATAAACTTCAGCTTGCTAATTGGCACATAGCATAAATCGGCTGCCTGTGTGTGCCCACAGGTCCTGGATGACAGACTGAATGAAGCAAACTTCTGCTTAATTGCCCAAAGAGACTTGGACCAAAATCCTTAATCACAGTTTTAACGACAGGACAAGGATCCTGCTATCGTTGTCAGCTCACCAGTTGCGCTGGCTTTTACCAACAAGTACTGGAGGTGGCTCTTGGCTTGATTTCTGTGGTGTGATACCTAGGCCATGCTTACATCTAAACAGACCTTGCTATTAAGGAGGGGAAAGAGGACAAGCCAGGAATACAACACACACAGAGGAAAGGAAACCCCATAATGTTTTTGTGAGGTTTCAGAAAAACCTTTCTGTCCAGTGGAAGTGGTGGGAGGGAAGCCACCACAGGACAGGCAGGAGCAAAGCCGTCAGTCTCCTGCTTCTGGGGAGCAAGACACAGATACAGGCTCTGCTAAATGCAGAAGCAGAAATGGCCTTTTAGTGGATCAGCAGATGAATGGCTGCAGCTAAGGCTTGCAGCTAAACCACCTCAGTACTTTGTCCCAACTGTGTGCCTGCACACCCAGCAGATGGATGGACACTCCAGCCATGTCTTTTAGGGTTTATTCCCTAACTTACTTTCTTCCCTCTCACTAATACATTTCTGGGGAAAAGACTTAAAGCCCACTGGCTTTGTATCCTGCAATGAAGTTTGGCTGTCTTGTTTGAAGAATGGTGTTAGCAACTGGGGAAAAATAAGCTTCATGACATTCCCTTGGATCTACAGCACTTCAGAGGATATGGCAGTGATGCCAGACACAATGCCTGAAAACACACACCTGTTCTCACACTCCTGCTCTCCCCTTTTCACTGACAGCAGACTATGGAACAACCTATGTATTTGTTTACCAGTACCAACGTTATCATACTCAGAAGCTACTGTGAAACACTTGTTTTTAAGGAACATTTTGCTTTACATCAGGCTGGCCTCAGTCAGAAAGGTAACCTACTCCCCAGTGCCTATAACCAGCAGCAAATCTTACAAACTGTCGTGGTTTAAGTCCAGTCAGCAACATAGCCGCTCGCTCACTACCCCCCTTCCTTGCCCCTGCTCCCGGAGGGACGGGGAGGAGAATCGAAAGAATGTAACTCCCATGGGTTGAGATAAGAACAGTCCAGTAACTAAGGTATAACACAAATCACTGCTGCTACCACCAATAACAATAATGATAAGGGTTAAGTAACAAGGGAAGAGAATACAACTGCTCACCACCTGCCGACCAATACCCAGCCCGACCCGAGCAGTGACCTAGCCCTTCTGGGTAACTGCCCCCAGTTTACATACTGGGCATGGCGTGCTGTGGTATGGAATACCCCTTTGGCCAGTTTGGGTCTGGTGTCCTGTCTCTGCTTCCTCTCAACTTCCCCTCCTCCCTGGCAGAGCAAGAAGCTCACAAAGTCCTTGGTCAGAGGAAACACTACTGAACAGCAACTAAAAACGTCGGTGTTATCAGCTCTGTTCCCAGGCCAAAAGTCAGAAAACACAGCACTGCACCAGCTACTAGGAAGGAGAAAAATGACTGCTACTGCTGAACCCAGGACACAAACACAACCTACACACACACACATTCAGTATGGCCATTCTTCCCCCAGACAGAGAATCTCTTCTCAAGAGAGAGGGTCTCAAGACATTACTAATGACTAATGCATCTTTATTCTCTATCACAATACTCAAGTCAATGCTAGTACAAACAATGACAAAATGGACCCTTTTAACCACCATTTTGGAATTTATTTTTCCATACATCACAAAAGATAACTCCTGGACACTTTTTTGTCTTTCAGGAAGACAGATTGTGACAAACTAGAGTACTTTTGTATAATACATAACTGCAAGTTGATTAATCAGTTGTAATATTGATTAATGGATATCTCCTGGCATCTCTGGGATGACAAGAAAATAGACTTCACCTTCTTTAGTGTAAGTTTATAGATAAGAACAGATGTCATGCATAAACCTCACTGATAAGGATAAACTAATCAGAAAGGAGACAAATGACCAAGCTTTCTCCAAGTCTATTTCTTCTTAGCACCCTGGGATTATGACATCCAAGTCAAACAAAAGATGTCAGCTAATGACCCTTTTCAGACATCCACTTCTTTCCCTTTTAGGTACAATAAAGGTTTATATTCATCAGAAAAAGAACTAAAACCATCATGCATGCCTTCCTAGAAGTGACCACAAGTCATTTTTGAAACCGAGAAACTGCTAACAGTTGAGCATCTCCTCTGATAGAGCAAGGTTATTCACTGCAGTATACTAAAAAGCAAGGCCAGGTGAATCATATGAACACAGGAACAGATGAGACAGTGAGCACAAATCTAGTTTAGGATGGCTTTTGTACACCCTTCCCCCACAAATATTGTCAGTGTTTCCACAGGAAAAAAATCTAAAACAAACCAGATGCTTAAAAATGTAGGGGTTTTTAAGTCCCTCGTACCATGAAGGTAGACTGACATCTCTTGATTTCTCCACTTTTTAAACATTTGCATTTCAAAGAATAAGCTAGAGAGAAAGAACAGAGTCCACAGTAGAATCAGTTTAACTAAAACAATTGCTGAATATTCATTTCCTCCTCCTCTCTCCACAGAAAGCTTGGTAGTGCTATAACTGCTGTGTGATGTACATGCTGAAGATCGGAGCACTGTTGAGCTCTAAATCTGTGCTTGTTAGCAGAATTACAATTCAATATTTGCATTGCAACAACACCTAAGCAATCCCACTGAGATTCATTCTCCTACACAAAGTACAAACACATTCACATGACCCCAAAACGGCTGGATGGTTGCCAATCCCACCTCGCAGAAGCTCACATGATTTAAAGGCTTAGTCTACAACAGTGTTTTTTGCCAGGACTTGTACATCTGCCCCTAGCACGAGGCCCTGAACGAGGGAAGGTGAGATGAGCAGAAACCAGAGCTTTGATGTGTGTTTTACCATTGTGCTCACACACAGACTCTGCCGTTGGTTCTCTGCAGGCATCAGCTGAAGCCAGCACAGTTCAACATGGAGCATGTGTGGATGCAGGCATCAGCCTCATCCTCTTGTATCCTCGTACAAGAGGATACAAGCGCTGTCACTTCAGCTGGAGCACGCCATCTCCCTGTGCACCATAAGTGAACCAGCAATTGCTAATGCTTCTTTCAGTCTTCCATTCCCTGTCCTACCTTTCTCTCTAGAAATTATACCTTCTTAACATCTGAGTTTATAGCAGTTTTAAAGAGGCAAAACAGTTCTGTAATTTCATATCAGAAGAAATAATTCACACTTAGAAAGGCAGAATAAATGAATAAATTACCTTATCCTTTGATGAGATGTCCAGCTCAGGAAAAGAGGATATTGCTTGATGCTCCACAAGCAAGCGCAGCACTTTTCATCTCTTACGGTGTTGTAACAGAACCCCTAGTGATTAAAAAAGCCATGGACACGGTATACATTTACACATACTGACACACAGCTTTGTGTGCATGAATAAACACATGACTGTGGGCGTCCACACAAACACACAGACCCCCTTAAGAACTTTTATACTCAGAGGATTGAATTTAGGCTTTGAGAGCCTAAAGCAAACAGCAGGAAAAAACAAGCCACAGAAAGCCCTCAGCAGAACACTGAGGGAGCTGCTCAGCTGCCCTCACACCTTCCCCTGGGATACATGGAAGGATGAAACTCCTGCAACTCAGAAAATTCCACCAGCTTCAGTAAAGCACAGAAAACCCAGGGACTTCTTGAGGTCCACAGTCCCTAGGCCTCATGAGATACAAGAACCCCAAGTCACAGCCCAGCAAGACTGGCACGTATGCCTTGACTCGCAAACTGAACACGGCACACCCTGAACAACATGATCATCAGCTGTGCCAACCCTACCCACCACCCACAAATCCAAAAGCCATTAAGCCCAACCTTGTTTCAATTAGACTAACTGATTACTACTTCGCAGCACCTTCCCCTCATCTGGGCCCTGCTGTTGCTGGATTACTTCCCACTGACTGAAAAAGAAATTTGCGCTGCAGAGAAAGCTATTTGAATGCATTCATACTTACACTGAATAGCAATACTAAAACAAACAAACATTACATTTCTGGCAGCTGAAGAATTGTGCAGTGTTATGCAGGTGTGCTCTCCCATGGTTTGGCTGGATTGGAAGCACAGGAGGTAAACACCAGTCTATTTCAGGGACCATAGACCTACTCCACAGTTAAAGCTCGTATTAGTTCCTGCCATGTTCAGCAAGACCTTTCAAGTTTCAGCTGGTGATGAAAGCTGAGTCTTGGAATACTCACCTTTACTAGCTTAGATGGGCTGTGTGGCAGTGGTGAGGCATGGACTGCCTTTGGCACAAAGTAGGTGAGACAGCTCCATCAGCACAGGGCTGGAGTCCAGGGCTCCCCACTCAGGGGCAAGCATCCGGACATCCGAGCATGAACATCTCTTCCCCCTTCTTTGCAAGCTGCCAGGGACAAGTCAGGGCAGCCCTGGGAGCAGCTCTGCTCTGCCCCTTCCCCAGTCACTAGCTGAAACAACAACCCTGTTTTCTGTCAGTCCCATTTTCAATTTCCCCATCCATTGATCCATCGCTGGCTCAGCACAGTGGTCAGTGCTGGCAGCAAGGCCACTGCCTGCCTTTTCCTGAGACCAGCTCCTGCAGGATCGGTGTTGCATAGACCCCTAAGTCCAGAAGTTTGTTTTATCCAGGGGCTGAGGAGAAGGAAGGAGTCAGTCTCTCGTTCTGAAGCTTGACTGCAGCGTGTCTAGTAATACCTTTCACCTCTGGCTGAGTCCTTAAAATCACTTTTCTTAAAATAGAGGAATATCCTTTAATGCTCTCCTGCTTTGTCATGTTGAAAAATTACCAGATGGTTTAGAAAACAATAAAATGTGCCCAAATTTATTTGTTTGGGGTTTTTACAATAGGAAAACATCCAGAGGTGGTTTCTTAGATTGGCCTTCCTCTTGCACCATGGAAACCAGTGAAATATTTGCTGTTTCTTAGCACCCATTTCAGGGTCAGAGTTTTACTTGGAGCAGCAAAGATTCTAATTTTGCTTCTTGACCTCATTTCAATTAGCTTTGGGTGACAGAAGGAACATGTTATACCATTAGACAGAAAGATTCCCACACAGCCTAGTGCTGGAAGGCAGAGACAGCTTGCTTATCTTTCAGTGACTGTTTCTGTGGCCACAGAGCTTGACAAACACCAAAAAGAGCTGTGCTTTTGCTGTTACCCAGCTGTTTTTGACTCCTTCTAGCCTCTGCAGCATTGCTTTAGCTGATGCAAAGCTCTTCATTTTGGAAAACGAGTGGTGGAGGTGGCGTGTGGAGCTCCCCAAACTTCTAAATGGCTGGGGAAAGCAAGTTAGGACTGCTTTGTTATAATCAGAACAAAAGATAATGGAAAATGTAGTGATGTATCAGACTTATTATTATTAGAAATGGATACATGTTTGCATAAATTGAGATCCAGTCTTAAAAATCTCTGCCCCAGGATATTGTGGAGACTAAAAGCAGAGCTGGACTCAGAAAAGAGACTGGCAAGTTTCTGGATTAACCTTTTCCTTTAGTCTGCTGTGCATGCTGTTTTGTCTTTTACTGGGACAGGGAGAGTCAGACACTCTGCAAATCCCCAGCAAGTGCTCCATCAAGCCTTCAACTCTGGCGCAGCTCACTATCTCACTGCAGCAGTGAGTTCTTATCACGGGCTGTGTATTTCTTTGCAAATAGGGGAGAGGATATGTCACTGTTCCTCTGCATGTCTCTGACGCCTACCTGCTCTGTGTATCTCACTGTATTCACAGAGGTTATCAGTAGCGGTTGTAGTGGAGACGGTAATTCTGCCATTTAGAAATGTCACTGTCTCCATGCAAGACACTGGTATCATACCAGCAAGGGAGGCAAGACAGAACAGCCACTCATTTAACACTAGCCAAGTGGAGCTGGGGCCATTGAGGCAGCCCCAGCTACCGGCTGGGCCCATCACATCCCACTGGGCAGCCTGCACAGGCACAGCTAATGCCATTCATTTGCTACCGCTATGTACAACTCTTCCTATGCACGCTGGGCAGAAAACTGTCCCCAGAGAATATTGGGCTAAAGATGAACTGAGTCTTGATTCTGTATACATTTTTTCTGTAAGGACATTTTGTCAAGAAGTCATTAATTTGCTGTACACTTAGGTCACACGTGTTTAAATCATACACTGAACACATGCATATTTTAAGTGAAGGAGGAGACTGCATGCGACAGCAAGAGAAAGAATGAGTTTTACCAAAAATAAACCTAAACCACTTTAGTTGCAGCAGCTCTGAAAATATATCAGAAACTTTTCAACAGAGTTTACGTAAAAATCGCAAGTGCAATATCACATAACCATATGAGTTACACAGTATTTTCCATTTAATAATTGTGGAAAGGTGCATTTTGATATATCAAAGTAAGCCTATGCAAAGCTATGACAAGGTGCTCAGGAAAACCAGACTATAGGGCTTTAACATTTGCAAAAAAGGAGTCCACAAGGAGTGCTCAAAAGAAATCTCTTCCTTAAATAATACAAATTTCTTCTTCCAGCACTTCTTCCATAATCTGAGCACTCAAACATTTCCAAGCCCTTCCAAAAAAATAGTTAAATTTTTAATTAGCTTTTTAAAAAGACTTTTCTATTACAACACTAAGTGCTGTAACTCACAAAGAAGCTTTGTGGACAAGCTGTGTTCCGTTTTATGGTCTTCATCTTACGCAGTTAATCACATGCTGCTGAATTCATTCTCCTTATTGCACAGCTCTGTAACCTATTAAAACATTTTCCTCTTGTGTACACACACTGCACTCGTAGCTATTTTGCATTGGCTTTAACTAAACAATACAAGAATTATTCTTACACTCCTCAGTGACCCACTCCACAACTTTAGGGTCAGGGAAGGTTAAGGGCACCTGCAAGAGCTCAGAGGCCACGGATGATTTCTCACACTGCTTCCCGCAGCAGCACCTACAGCCCTAAAGTGAGTTGGAGGGCTGTGGGCACAGGGAGCTGCAGGGAGAAGGACAGGGTGGATTTGCCTCTTTGGCAGCAGCAACTGCTCACCAGCCGAGCTGCAGGAGGAGCGGGATCCACAACGGAGATGGAGCGACTCATTCCCACAGCAAGCTCAGCTGCCAGCCGGCTTCGGGAGTCAGTGCAAGCAGCAGCACTGAACCTGCAGAAGCAGGTTTCAGAAATGCTCTCTTCCAAAAGAAAGGAAACCACTGGAAGTTCAGTAACGGAAAAGCCCTGTCAGTGTTTCACAGCTGTGTCTTGGTGACCTAATTAAGTCAGATGGGACACATTCCTTAATCATGTGGCATTGATTCACGGTGAGACCAGATGGCCAAAGGGACATGATTTTACACACGAAAGGTTGTCAAGCGGTTGGCTCCTTCAGAGGAGAATGAAAACACTCCATGAGAAGCACCTGTGAGACAGGAAACTGAAAACCAGTTACCACAGAGCAAAGAATGTCAGAAGATACTTCACAAAGCCAGTTGCTAGGAATTGGGAAATAAAAACAGCATGGAGGACCTGGGAGGGTGAATATCTCCATCAGCTGGAAAACAGTGCAAGAAAACTACTGATTTTTCACGTATTTTGAAGCATGTGCAGTGAGAACACAGCGAATGCACTAATGCTGTTTAGCTGGAGGCAGCACCAGGTGGCAGGGCAGGCTTCTTATGTGGGGAACCTGCATGATCTTTCATGAGAAGTGAAGAACACCCAGATAAGCCCAGATTCCGGGGAAAAAAAAAAAGATAGAATTTAGAGAAAAAAAACAGATAAACTGGGAATGGATATGAAAGATCCAATTTCTACTGTGGGAACGATTTGATTTTGAACTGAGAAAACAACAAACAAAATCACAGCTCCAAAGAAAATTCTGTTACATCTGGGAACAAAGAGCCAATATCAGAATTATTTTGTTTAAAGGGTGTTTAGTTCTGCATTTGATTTAGACAATGCATACAACAAAGGACCAAAAAAAAGGTACATAAAATTAATTTTCAGATACCTTTAATGGGACAGGTCAATTTTTAGTGCTGCACTGTCCAGTAATTCATGCTACCAGGAATATCCTGTCATTAATTCTACAAATGTTTTTAACAGTTTAATAACTAACTGAATTTACCAGGGATAGCAGAAGTAGTAAGTCACTGAAGCAAATATTTAGGACTTGAAAGGCTTGATAAATACAATCGCATCCAACTAGCAGGACATTCTTATCATTGTGACTGAAGCTCAGTATTTTTAAACAATTTTTGATGGTTCTGGCACATTACCCTAGATAAGGAGAGTTCAATGTGCACTTCCAGTACGCTGTATAGGAGCAAACACTGTTACAGACTTCTCTGGTTTAAAAGCTGTTCCTGGTACTTTTTT